GCTGGAAGCGGTGGCCGGTACGTCCCTCGGCCGCGCCGCTTCCAGCAGCCCCCATTGGCCTGGAGCGGCGAACGGCGGCCAGTGGAGGCCGCATTGGCTGGACCTGCGGACGCGGCAGGTAAACAAACCAGCCCGGCCTGCCAGGGGCTTTCCCTACACAAGCGGTGTCCCAAGTTTGGGAAACACTGGTCTATATCATTTCTCCCTCACTATGAAACTACAGCTTGAGAGCACAGAACACAGCTATTTCCTTCCAAGAATCTTCAAATATTACAAATATATTTTAAATAATGCATCTTTAATATGAATGTATTGGATTTACTTTCCATACTCAGTATTTTTGTCTGATTCTGACCAAAGTATTTAGATGTATTGATTTACAGCCAATCAGTTCTTGAAGTATCTTTGTTTTAGTTCACAAATGAGCATTTGGAGTAATTTAACTTTTTAAAACAATTTTAGGGTCTGGCTCCCATCAGTGATTATGGTTTCTTAAGTCAGTTGTAAGCTAACTAGAATGGTCAAAGAAGATTCAGACAAAACTACTGACTAATGGTCAAGCCATTAATTTTCTAGAGATGGCCTGTATGTGCCAATTTAAACTGCATCGCCATTAAAATATAGTTCAGTTTCAACAACTTTAGGACAGGTCATTTTGTGGAGTAAAGGGTGACCCACGTTGGTTTAGGGCATGAACTCCTCCCAGCCAGATTTAACCATTAGGGTCCTTGTTGCTTCTTTCCATGAAGTAGCATTTTAGAATTTAATTTAAGTGTGCTAGGCCTGGAAATCCTGACACAGGGCAGCTCAGGATAGGGCCAATCCTGATTTCAGACATGTCAAGTGGGAGGTCTGTCAGTGAGGTCAATGGGGCAGAATTAAGCCTGCAAGCAGGCACTCAAAGGAAAAAGAAGAATATTTTAATTTTTTTTTTTTTTTTTACAATCATACCTTGCAGAACTTTGCCCAGGACAGTTGATAATCATTGTAACTAATTTGTTGCCCTAAAATTTAAAAAGAAATATATCAGTCCCTTTGTCTGAAGTTCCTGAAATAGGTTCATTTGTGATATTTGAATATTAAAAGCATTACACTGTACATGACATTTAACTGAACAACATGACTACAAGCAAAGTTTCTCTATAGGTGGACCTGCAATTTAAACATTACAGCAATGCTTTGAAGCAACTTGGGACTTCTGTTCTATATCAACTTAAACACAGAGTTCCACTTTTTATCTGAGTTTGCTGCTCATGGGCTTCACTTTATCTGAGACTTTTCTGTTCAAAGTTCTAATAAGAAAATCTTTTATGATACATATGTCCCTACTAATTTACTCTTCTGTAAATGCTAGCAGAGAATAAATATAGTATCTTTAGAGTAACATCACTTAACATGTAGTTATTAGTCGTATTGTTTCAAATCTTTAATGTCTAAATAAGAAGTCATGATTCTCCTGTGAAATAAAACCAACCTCATCCTAATTTTTTTCCCTTCTAATTACTGAGATACAAGAGGAGGGAGATCTTGTTTAGACAGGGAATGGCACCCGGAAATTGCACCAGGTCCCAGACATTTATCCAGTAACAGGCTAGATCACTTGAAGTGTTTGGGGAAGGAGTGAGAGCTGGGAGGGGAGATCTTTCAGCCTGACTATCTTGCAGGAGGAGGATTCAGGTACAGGCACAATGTCTGGGGGAATGCAAACGTTTCCTTCCCTCAGTTTTTTTTCCTACTGTACTTATGATTCCCCTTGTTGTGGCTGCAGGTCTTTTGCATTCTCACTCCTGGTCTCGTCCCTCAAATTTTATTAATGTGGTTGCAGCTCTGGATCCCAGCCCTGGAAGAGGTTGACTATGTGCACATTGGACATGCACAACTGCACCTCTCTTCAACCTGCACCACCATCACTTCACTGCAGAAAATGGCTCTAATCAGGATGTTCCCTCCTCCTGTACAACAAGCCACTAAAAAAAGTGATTTCATTCCCCTAGGCAAATTGCCTTCCCCTCCCAATCCTCCTGCAGCAGCCTTCCCCAAACCATGAGCAGCTGCCTTAATCCCCTTTTGCTGCACCTCAGAAGTATCCTCCTGTCATAAATATAGAGGGAAAGGTGCATAAATCCCTCCTTGGCAGCTGTACTGAATCACCTTACCTGTAAGGGGTTAAGCAGTTCAAATAATCTAGTTGGCACCTGACCAGAAGGATCAATGAGGAAAGAGGATACTTTCAAATCTGGGGCGGGGGGGGGGAGGATAATTTGTTTGTTTGTTCCCTCTCTGGACGGAGGGAGAAGCCAAGCAGGTACAACATCTCCTAAAAATATACCTGGAATAATCCATCTAAAACCACAGAAATTGTAAATAGAGCAAGGAAATGCATTAGGTTATCTTTTGTTTTGTGAATTTTTCTATGCTACAGAGGTAGTTTTATTCCTGTTTTTGTAACTGTGAAGCTGAGCCCAGAGGGGAATCCGCTGTGTTTTAAATCTTTTTATTGCCTTGTAAAGTTACCTTCCATCCTGATTTTGCAGGTGTGATTCTTTAACTTTTTTCTTTATAAATAAAGTGATTTTTAGTGTCCTGAAGACAAAGGGTCTGGTCTGTGCTCACATTGCTAAGGCAATTGGTTGGTATATTATTCTCAAGCCTCCCCAGGAAAGGGGGTGAAGGGCTTGGGGGGATATTTTGGGGGGATAGGGATTCCAAGTGACACTTTCTTGAATTTTTGTGTAAATCACTTGGTGGTGGCAGTAATACCGTCCAAGGACAAGGAAAGGAATTTGTGCCTTGGGGAAGTTTTAACCTAAGCTGGTAGAAAATAAACTTAGGGTGTCTTTCATGTTGGCCCCCACATCTGTACCCCAGAGTTCAGAGTGTGTGTGTGGGGGAACCCTGACACCTCCCCACCTCAGCCTCCTCCAAAACTAAAATCTAGCTAAGGAGCCCCCTGTGTTTTGTCAACATCTTTTCTTCCCTCCCTCCATCAAAAAGGGCAATCAGTCCAATCAATATCCACCTGACAATATCTACCTGACTGACATTAGAAGGAACAGCCTCTCCACCTTTTAACCATATATAAATCTACCAGCCTCCTCCAAAGCCTGAATCCCCCTTCAGGAGGACAGGTAGCTGAAACCTTCAAGTGTCCATCCTGCTACTAGAAGGCTTACTACGACTTAACTATTACACTTCCTGCCCATAGAGAACCCCCCGTCTCCTTCATCAGCAGAGCAGGAGTGATCTCTCTTTGCCTTCGGAAGACAAGTAACCCAGAAGATAAAAGGTATATTATTATTTTTTTTTAAACAGACCAAGACTGCCCTTTCATTTCATAATAGGTTGACTGTTCTTTAACAAAGCTTACCATAGTTTGTTGCAACTATGACACCCTTTTGCTTAGCCTTACCGTCTGAAAGTTCACAAGCTGAGGCAATTTTTGGCATGAATAAGGTGAAACAAACTTTTTTTACTTTGAAAGTATTAACAAACAATTGGCAATGCTGAGCTGAGTGGCGGAGGTGGCTGTGTTACTGAAAAGTGATGTCACCTGTGGCAATAGCACATGAGAGCACAAAGGGGAGGAAGGCAAACTGTGTTTACAAACTGGTTTAGAACTAGTGAACAATGTGGGGGGAAAAGGGGTGGTGGTGGAGGAGGGGATTTGGGGCATAAATTCTGACCTCTAACCTGCAACTGGGCAGAGCGTGGCCTGTCATGTGTAATATTTAGAAGTAAATGGAAATTGAACAGCTATCATAGTTTTATGGTTCTTACCCATAAGTTTCTCTGCCAGCATATTGAGCTGCTCAGAATTGAGTCCACGACCAACATAAGATGAAAACTGCCAGCTCAGTACTTCTAAGAGTTGACTCAGAGTGGCAGTAGGAGGATTGTTAAAGAAACCCAGGTTCTGCAATAGAATTCATGCTTTGTTTATACATTGGTAGCCACTCTGAAATATTAGACATTTCAAACTGCAAAGAAGAAGTCAGATGCACCTTAGTTTTGATAGCAGCACTTTCTTCTGAGGCTAACAATGCTAACTATTGAAAAGCTGACCAATAAGAGCAGGTGTTCTCAGAAGACAATTTCCATCTGGAGCAAACACAACTTCAGTGTGCCAAGTCTACTAACTAACCCTTTAGACACCCTGTATAGCAATATGTTAAATTCTTTTTATAGCCTGGCTGATTTTTTTTTTTTTTTGAATCCTTTAATCTAAAACAGACTAATGACTGTGCTAAAAAGACTTCGGTTAAGAGTTTTGTTTGGGTTAAAATTGATATCTAGGGGGATTGTCATTTGGCCTGCCAATTCTTGTTGGCATTCTGACACATCCTTTCTTGCATTCTCTCTCCTCACAACATCTACAGACAGCCACCAAACCCTGACTGAAAAACTAGAGGAGCTTCTCATTCAGAGCTACTATTAGAGCTATTCCACAACGTGGCAGAAGTAATGCTGGTAAAGGTAATTGATGTGACTAACTTAGCAGTTTGTGCTGAACCTCCCACAGACTGAGAACCTCCCTGAAGTTGGGGCTACTAGCAGGTGGTACCAGTCCACTTACTAATGTTCTAATTTAATAAAAGCACTAACTCCTGTGAAATAAGTGAGGGGAACTGTATTTAATACAGTACAGAAACTCTTATGTATCCAATTTGACAGACTGATATTCAAGCTGTGAGTTACGTATTGCAATGAATTAATCTGAATAACGAAAGCTCTTTTATATATAACGTGAGTATATATTAATCACAGGCATGAATAATCTTTTTAAGTGAAGTTAGTGTTTGTGAATGGTGTAGGTTGACAGTATTTAGTACAAGGCAATCTTCTAAGGTGTTCCATATACTCACAAATTAGGAACAGTGCAAGAAGCAGGAGTACAAGACTTCCAAGTACACCCCTTCAATTTGCCTCAGTCCTGTTGCAGAGAAACCACATCAAGAGAGTGAAAGGGTAATTAAATCTACAAACTCATTCCATTACTGGTCTTTTTACCAAGACTACCAACATGCCAGTTGAGAATGTTCGCTCTGTGATGATGAGATTTGTCCACTAAGAACTATGTAGGATGCCTACCAGAGTGGGGTCCTGGTACACGCCTGGGGCTCCTAGGCACACTAATAATACAAATCAATAATAAATAGATTGGAAACTTCCAATACGTCATTTCATACAGACCAAACACCGGAAGTCAAATGGTAACAGGTCAGTATTGACTGAAAACTATCTTACATTTGAACTGACGATCTGGAGGTAAAAAAGGGCACCATATCTCGATCCAAAGACCCATTCAATCCTCTACGTAATGTTAATCGTATTATTATCAATGTGATTACAGCTAATTTGTAGTATAGAGTGTGTGTGCAGGGAAAAAAGGCCAGATTTCCTAGAAGTATCAGATCTGGGAAAAAATCTTTTTCTGCTGATACATTTTTTTGACAAGTGGATAACTAGAAATATACAGAAAATTAATATTTGGGATTTGAAGACCTACCTGAGAATCCTTTGACAACAAGTTGTACCAAATAATAGAAGCCCAAGCATTAGGTAACTGACTGACATTGGAAATCATCACTACAGGCAAAGAACTTGTCTGGTGAAGAAGACAGAGTATGTGAATGTTACAGAGTGTTGCATACAAGGCATTCATTGGGGAATGTATTAGTCTGCTAGCATGTTTTTTTTTTTTAATTAGCATAATAGTTTTGTAGTATTGGAAACTGTAATAGTTTCAATATCACCAATTCGTCTTTTGGCATATTCCTAGGGGCAGAAATGTGCTGGGGTGCTGTTGCTGGCTAATGGTTGGTCTGTGAACCCAAGGAATGGGCCCCCAAATGTCCAGTGAATGTTAGTCTCAGAGCTCAGCTATATGTGCTGGACTCCACAGCGACCCAGGTGGCTGGCTGTAGCTGTGGCTAGGGGCTGCCTTATCAGCTGTATGAAAGCTGCACAAAGTATAGCTGCCAACAGCCAGTCATCTGTCTGGGAGGAAGGGGACCTATGGTATCCCTAGAACTGTTGGAGACCTTCAGGGCTCATGTCAGCCACACTATGATGCCCACAAATGGTGAATCAGGAAGACCTGCAGGCATGTGTATCATGGGCCCCTAAAACTTTCTCTTGACATATATCATATCATATCTTCTCAAAGCAGCATGCTGTGCTGCTCCATGGGGCATCCCAATCCTGTGTCTATTGAACTCAGTGGGAATTTTGCCACTGATTTCACTGGGGGCAGGACTGTGCACTAAATTCTCTGCAGAACATCATATTTATGCTGTACCAAAGTGAAGTGTGCATAGCCAATTAGAGTTAGCCAATTAGATGACTTAAAAGTTGCTGTATGTATCTATGTACTGTACATCTTCTATCTCAAACTCTTGTAAGTAATAGGTATTAATTTGGCTTGAGGACAAATAATTACTTATTCTTCCCCACATAAAAACAGTGAAAACACTCACCTCCAAATCTATAGTCAGACCATACAGGGAGACCTGTGTTTCAAAGCTGATGGAGTGTAGCTCTTCAGTTACCATCTGAGGGCCCTGAGGAAGCAAACACATTATAAAACTGTGAATAAAGTTGGCACTTAAAACTGGTTTTGGCAGCCTGACTACAACCAAACCATGCAGAGAACACAACACTCAAAGAAAATATGCCAGTTGAATATACTGTTTAAGCAGAGCCAGTGGAAAATCATGGGTGTTTTTTTTTTTTTTTTAAAAAGGGCAGTGCCCTGACCTTAAACTCTGTCTAAAACTTCAGCAGTTTTCTGAAGAAGCTAAGAAAACATTGTTAAAGGGATTGTTGCACTTTTAAAGACTGAAGTGAAAAATGAACAAAAGGAACTGTGCTTTTTGCAAGTTCTAGAGATGGCCTCAAACTTTTTTTTTTAAAAAAAAGCTTCTTTCGTGATCAACAATTTCAATGTAAAACAGATTCCGATTTCCCAGAGGATTCTGTCTATCTTTGGAGGACTAGGAATGCAACATCCCAGGAAGGATAAACTTGAGCAGTCGCTCAATTAGCTTTCCTGTTGCCCAACAGCTCCTCCATATATTGGGCTAGATTGTGCAGTTTGCACAAAGAGCTGCATGGAGGCCCTCCTGCACCAGTAGCAGTACAGGGAGTGACTGTGCCTCAGGCATAAACTCTCCCAGGGTTGCTCAGCACTCATGGGGGTGGGGGGTGCATGCACTGCTCTGTACCATCCAAAGGGATGGTGTATCTTGCTCTCTAGTGTGCTAGAGCCCCGCTTCCTTTTCAATCCTTTTCAGTTGATTTGCTCCGTGGAGGGGTTAAGGTGAAATCCCTGCTTACAGAGAGTATTTATAATTCTCTGTCTTTGCATAGGTCACATGAGGAAGGTCTCCTTCCATGACTCCGCTTCCCCTTGCACATGTCTGCAAGGGCAAATCACAGTTGGGCGCTGCAGATCAGGTTTCCACCTCCTATCAGGTCAAAGTTCCCCTCCTGAAACTACCAAATCCTGCCATTCCTAGTATAAAGTTCAATGGGGAAAAGCCACTTTTTTTTACAACCAAAAGTGAGACAAAAACCCAAATGCATGATGTCAACTTTATGCATCAGCCAAAGCCATGAAAGGCACAGTTTCACTGGCTTTGCAGTTCACCTTTTAAGTTAAGCTTTGAATAAAAAGTTCCCCCCCACCCCAGTGTGGCATAAACCACAGCTGCAGAACCTTCTGATCAGTAGGCTTTCATGGACACTTACCTGGAATGGAAGAACTAACCAAGCACAGAATTAAAAACTGTCTCTGCCCTGGGCCAGATTTTTAAGGTATTTAGGCACCTAAAGATGCAGATAGCTGCCTAGTGGGATTTTCAAAAGCACCTGACCTCTCTCAGGAGAGAGTTTATTTGCCTATTCTAGCTACTACACTCCTTTGCCTTCTCATTTCTTTCAGAACCTGGGACCAGCAGCAGTGTGGCACAAATAACACAGCTATAACAACCAAGCAGGATACTTGTGCTACCTCATTTCTGAATTCATTTCTAGAGCCTCAGTATATTTTTTTTCCAGTTGCAGCATGGAACATTGACAATTGTCTCCATCTGTTAACTAAAATGATTAACTCTAATTCCCCGTACAGGACTAGAACACTGACCATATGTGTTTTGAAATGCAGATCTGAAAACTGTAACCACAGACATACTTGGAGAGCAAGTTCTGTGCTTATAAAAAGGGAGAAGTTGGTAGAAGTTTGGCATCTGTCACTACGTGCAGGGATCCACCAGCAGTTTTACTTAAACACTCCAAACTAGCTATATAGCTCCAATAATCCTTCTGAAAGTCATAGTCTCCTCTTGCCTGCAGCAAATGGAAGTACCCAGCAGAAAAGATTTGAGGACAAGAAGTAGCCACCAATATGCTTGTACTATAACCTCAGAAAGTGGGGGCAAGCAGCAATAGAGCGAAATCTGGCAAATTTGTGGCATGGCCAGATAAGCCACACACAGGAGTGAGAACAAAAGTAACAGAGTGGCCAAATCACAAGGATATTCACATAGAATCACTCTGTCTCTGTGCTGTTCCTTGTCCTCCCCCAGCACAAAAGGCTCTTGCTGCCACTGGCTTCCCCACATGCTGGCAGCATGGCTGTGACTCCCTCTGATGGTGGAGAAGGATGATCAGAGGATATGTAGCTGCTCAGAGTCGCTGTAACTGCATTCTGGATATTATCCCATTTAACAAAAAGAATGGTACACAAAGTACAGCCTTTTCCCGGCCCCTCTCTTCCATCCAGCCCATATCCCTCACACTGGTGCCAACGCTCATAATTTTATTGTGAATCTTGTCTTATTTTTTTAACTTAAAGTCCCATTTCCTGGAGACCTGTGGTTATGTGAGAATCTCCCTTTACTTTTTGTGGGTTTTCTTTAAATTAATATTGTTAACCTTCCTGGATATAGAGAGAATTTGGAAAATGTAAAACCTAAAAGGCTAATGAACTAGAAGGCAAATAAAAAAACCCCAAACACTAATTGTTTAAAGTCTCATGATTTTTAAACAATCTCATAACATTCTTTGGGGGCCTGATGCATACATTTTGAACACTTGGGGTTCCTGATACTAGTTTTGAGTGGGGACACTTGGCACCAAGAAATTCTCGGGGAGGATGTGATCTGTTGGAGGAATATACTCTCTCACTACCTGTCCCATCTGCATAGGCCTCAACTTTTCTTCATGCCATCAGTGCTCTTTTGCTTCCCACTGTGCTGCATAAAGGGGAGCATTTAGCCTTGGATGATTTTGGATTTAATAGGAAAGACTCATCGACAACTAAGATAAGCACACTGCATCTGTTACTAAATCCAAACTTAACAAGAGGTGCACAAACTGAGGGCAGGGCAGTAGCATTTTACACCCACTTTGCACTCATTTACCCTAGTGCAAATTCACTTCACAAGGTGCAGAGCAACAGAGAATCAGACCCTGAGTTTCAGTTTTACTATTCAACTGGTGAATTGTTCCAGTCAAGAATACAGATGTGTGTGCAAAAATGTGTCCTGCTTGGTTTTGGGTTGTGGTTTCTTTTTGTTTGTTTAAACCATCCATGCTGATCTTTTCTTATTTTGCACATAAACTCTATTACGAAGGCCTGGTCTATACGCAGTTTTTGTACTCTTATAACTGTCTTTTAGGAATGTGTTGTGTTTTTTTTTTTTAAAGATATACTAGTATAACACCTAACGTGGATGCAGTTAAACTGGTAGAAAGGTACTGTAGACAGGGCCAGCACAACCCATTAGGCGACCTAGGCAGTCGCCTAGGGCACTAACATTTGGGGAGCGGCGACCGCGGCTGCCTAGGGCGGCAAAAAAGCTGGAGGCGCTCCTGACTGTAGACCAGTATAGCTTTTCCTCTTCCCAGACAGGAATACTCCATACCATTTTTAAACTGGTATAGCTGCATCCACACTAGAGGGTTATACCACTTTAATTATACTGGTACTGGTACAGTTAAAGCCGTACGAACATTCATGTGTAGGTTTCTAATTTTTGTTTCAGTCTGATCTTAAACAAATAGCAAACTTACTCGAAATACTAATTCATACTGATGTCCCTACACCAATATTAATGGTATCTATTTAAAAGTGTGTTTTTTAGAGAGCAAGACAATGCCTATTTTGAGGTTATGTAAATTTTTCTTTGGGGTATATAGGAGAAGCATACTTTTAGACTCTTCTAGGATGCAGTCACTCACAACATCTGTTCACTTTACAAAGCTGAAGTGTACACAAGTCTCCCAAATGTCAGAGGGCATGGATAGTCCACAGTGTGTGTTAGTTATTCTGTAAATCTGAAGTTTTATATTATAATCTAACCACAAGGGGGCGCACTAAGACCAGCTTCTGATAAATATTACCAAAGCAGGACCAAATTCAAAGCTGATTGAAGAAGGCACAACTCCATTGACTTAAATACAATTACACCCTTATTCCAGTTGTGAATTTGGCTCTTAGTTTACTTATTTAATGAACTGTTCTTACTGGACATAATAAAAAAAAAAGTCTGTGGAAACATTTCTCTTGTTCTGGATTTCATAAAACTTTGTTTTTACAAAATGTAAATGTTGGGGCCCAATTTAAAAGAATACTCCTTAAGAAGAAACACACGCATTTGGATACAGATATCCTGCTGTCTAATCCAACCGTTTTTGTTGTATAAAACTGAGGCTTTTTAATTCAAACTTCTAAGAAACTTATTTCTGAAAAGTTCTCATGTATTTTTATTATATTACGACTGTCTACTGTTCAGTTTATCATGACTGTGTTTATTTCAAAAGCTAACATGCCTACAAATGAGATCAGTGGAAATGCATTCTAAAATACTTTTTATTTGAAAGTCCTAAAAAAACATATTCCAAAACTAAAAAACTTTATACCTCATTTCCTTTGCTTCCAGCACTCGATTTCATTTCTTTGGGTTGCTGTAAAATGGAAATTAAAATCTATATTCAGGAAGTTTATAGATGGAAATATTTAGCAGCAGTATTCGCTACAGTGGTTTTACTACTATGGTTGTATAGTGATGGTCTATTTGTGCTGTGCATCCTTCAGAAACTAACATATGATTTCTTCAGGGATCTCAAAATAGTATGTCTACACTACCCGCCGGATCGGCGGGTAGTGATCGATCGATCGGGGATCAATTTATCGCGTCTAGTGTAGACGTGACAAATCGATCCCCGATCGCTCTGCCGTTGACTCCGGAACTCCACCACGGGGAGAGGCGGAAGCGGAGTCGACGGGGGAATGGCAGCCGTCGATCCTGCGCCGCGAGGACGCGAAGTAAGTGATTCTAAGTCGATCTAAGATATATCGATTTCAGCTACGCTATTCTCGTAGCTGAAGTTGCGTATCTTAGATCAATTCCCCTCCCCCCCCCCCCAGTGTAGACCAGGCCTTCATGGCTGGTGGAATCAAAATCTGCCTTGCCATAAATTAATGGCACTAGGTAATCTTGTGATAAGTACACCATTTACATTGAATACCTATAATTAAGGCTCTGATGGTGTTTCTTGATAAATCTATTCAGTGAGTGATTATTTTAAAGAAGTTTTTTAAATACACAATTAACTCCTAATATGTCAATAAAGCTAAGTTCATAATAAAAAAAAAACTAAACAAGAATGCAAAAAGTGAAGCCTTGCGTTCTAATTGCAGACTCCTTTCCTGCAGAACTTCTACGATGCCCCACAGTGATTAAGCCACAGAAAGAGACCACAACATATCATTGGAGATGTAGTCCAGTCAGGCAGCAGGACCAATCAGGAGAATAGGGACATGAGCGACCCAGAATTAATGTTGATTTTGACAAAACTCCATTTTTGATGGGAAAATTTTTCATTCAATATATTTCAAACACCCCTTTTCCTTTATTTAATGTTTGTCTACTTGGTCAGCTCATTTGTTCATTTGAGAAAATATCCAAAATAATTATCAGTAGCAAATATGGAAATGCGAAAGCTACAAATCATATGAAGTCAGATGAAAAATCTAGAGCCACTGGACACAGAGGGGATGGGAGGGAGATTGGTTTGTAGAGCAGAAAGTACATGGTACCTAATCTTGTGTAGAGTATTAACAGTGAGCATTGTATAGCACATATTTGATAAAGAGGGTAAAAGCAAGTACTATGAGGCTATGTGTGCTGTTTCTTTAAAACTGCAGCAAAAAGTGGGGCATGTTGGGGCTGTGAAAGGTTCTAGGCAGAAGCTCTATAGTGAAGCAGAGAGAGAGACAGACAGCTGTAGGAATGATACAGTTTTCCTTGTTCAGGTTAAAAAAAAAAATCTGTGATTGCTTTACCAATGTCACATGACAAGAACAGTACCTGGCAAACTTACCAAATGTCTAAATTCTACAGACAGACTTCCATTTGCAGATTCATCCATATTCATAGCTTTGACATGAGTGCCACATAGAACAAATCTGCGATTACTAGAAAACACATTATAACAATGTACACAATGGCAGATAAAATAATGTGGGATAAATTAAGAAGTCTCAAACTTTTATAGCCTTACCTTACAGTTGATACATTCCTTTAAAAAAAAAAAAAAAAAAGAAAGAGAAAATATATCCTGTAACCCAGTGTGTGTGTGTGTGTATACATATATATATATAGTATGCATTCAAACTAAATAGCGCCTTTTTAAAAAGAGCAGATTAAATTATGCCTTGGCCTCTAAAGGTTCATCCATATTACAAATCCAGCTGTGACTTTTGTTCTGTAATCAGTCAGACATGGCAAGTTATAAGTAATATGATTCACTTTGTGCCCCCACAGCCTTTTTTCTGCCATCGGAACCATATGTGCATATTCAAAGCTACCACTCTGCCTAACTGTTTGCATCAATGCATTCTGGGAAAATACAGGCATCTGTACAGCAGGGCACAGAATGCCTGGAGAACATGCACACAGCATCAGCATGTAGAGCAATGTCCTGCTGCACAGACACCTGGGAAGGAAGAGGACTAACCAAATCAGTTTGGGTGTCCTGTTCACACTGTAAAAAAGAAAAATGGGAAAAAAGATGGGAGGAACCACTTACAGGAAGACAGCCATGTGCAAAGCTCAGTCTCTGGCGGGGGTGGAACACTCTGAGCTTCCATAGTTACTAACTATAGCACCAGTCCTCCAAGAACATGCTTAACTTTACTACCCTGAGTAGTCCAATTGAAATCAATGGAACTACTCACAGAAGTGAAGTTAAGCAGGTATGTAAATATTAGCAGGATCTGGGCCTGTGTGGTGTTTTGAGATAAATTAGCTTTTAGAGCTAGCTATGCTATTAACTAATTACAAGTTAGAATCATTCAATTAGAAGTTGAAATGTTGCTAGGGCCTAAGGTTCTGCTGAGAACAGCCAGTGAGAAACCTGAAACTCCCATTCTCTTCAAGGAGCCGGACCTTAGTAGTTATTTGTTTTGTGATTACAAATTAACGCAGCCTGATTTCATCAAAAGTATAGGGGCACTGAAAAGACAGATGCACTTTGGCTTTCATTACACAACCTACATTCACTTGGGTATGAGAACCTTTTAGTGAACCTGGGCTAACTTATGGTTTCCACCCAAAACTCGGCAAAACTGGTTGACGTTTTGTAGTGGGGCGCTTGCCCCACTCCTGAGGAACAGGGGTTAAAAGCAGCCCTGGTGAGGGCTAGGGCTGAAGGAAAAGCCTAGGCTGATTGGGGAAGCAGCCATAGCTAGGGCCAGGCCCAATCAGGCCACAGCTGGCCCTATAAAAGGGCTGTGAGGCAGGAGCTCAAAGAACTCTCTCTCTAGCTCCTGAGAGAGAAGGACCTGGCTGCCTGGTAGCTGAGCAGGATACCTAGGGTGGTGCAGTGCTGCGGAAGAGCAGAGGGAGCTGGGGAGCTCCAACCTAGTAAAACTCCAGGCTGCAGGTCTTGTTAAGGGCCTACAAAAGGGTACACTGGGGCTGCAGAGGGGCAGCCCAGAGATAGGCAAAGGCAGCAGGTCCTAACCCCCTTGCCGATGATGAGTGGTTTACAGACTGCAGTCGGCCCCAGGGAGCGGGGGGCTAGATGATGACTGGCAGTAGCCACTGAAGCAAGGTGGGTTTAGAGGGTTGGGGGTTCCCCTGGGAGGGGAGACCCAGCGTGAGGGGGTACTGTGGTGGGCAGAACCCCTGGGCAAAGGGCACCGGGGTCTGGGAGGGACACGGGGAGCCAGCAGCAAGTGAGACATCCTCCGGCAGAGGGTGCTCCGGAGCTGGAAAAGAGCTAATTCCCTGGACAGCCAGTAGGAGGCGCCACGCCGGTGAGTCATCGCACTGTTACACGTTCCCTTTATTTTTTTTTGATTGGTATAAATGTAGAACTCAAGGGGCACAATCCCACAGGACTCAAAGCTGAAAAATGGTTTGCATGAATATGCTGCTGCTGCCAGCCAAAACCACTGTGTTTCACACAGCTCCTGTTACAAATCTTCATTGGAATTGCTGTCTCGAATTTTAAAAAATCAAGTAAAAATTAAGCTTTTTTTTAAACATAAGAAAATCTTTCAGCAGTTATTGACTCTAATAAACCTCCTTAACATTCAAATAGGTCTTATATTTTAAAAACACAACAACTTTAAAATCACCTAAAGCAGCAACACAGACGGTGAGCCCTAGCTGTATAATGTGGTCACTTACTTGTCAATAGTTGCTTTCACTCTGATCTGGTAGTTCAGCTCTGGCAATTTAATTAGCAGCCTGGGAAATAAAAAAGTGTAAAACTGAACAATCAGAACTAGGACTTGTCCCTTTTATATAGTAAAGTTATATGTCATTATAGAATAAAGGCTGGTAGTTCCCTAGTCAAAGGTCTCTAAAATCCCATTTTAAAGAAAACCAGACCAAGTATCCAGAGCTGTATCATGATTTGCAGGGTCCCAAGCTTAAGTTGAGGGAGATAAGGTGGCAAGTGCCTCTCTCTTCATTATAAGTGCTGGCATATGAGAAAAGTTAGGATGGCACAGGCAAAGTGTTACTGCATAAGACTTGCAGCTGTGTTGTGAGAGACATCAAGTGGATAGTAAGTATGGGGGTTCTTGTACCCTCGTCCCTTCTGTTCCCTCCGTCCCTCCCACCATCCAGTCCTATTTTCAGAGTAGACAAGGAGCCAGTGGGGAGCAAATTCAGGCTCTGAGCTGTTGAAGACACGAGCCTCCAAAAATGCAGTAATTTACCTTGCTTGTGGGCAAGAGTAGCCTTGAAAGTACTGCAGAGATGGCTTGTGTGATGTGATATATTATTATTCACTTTGTTTTTGTGCCTTATTTTGTTAGTAATGTCATTAAAGCAAGAATCCAATAAAGGATTTTTTTAAAAATGTGACCTGGCAAACATCTGAAGTCTTTACTCACAGTGAGAAGCTGCTACTTTCACTCACGTTGAGCAGTATCTTACTCCATGTACAGTTGTAGGTGGCAGAATTTGGACCACAGTGTATGTATGTCCTTACTCAAGAAAATTCTCATTGAAGGCAATAGGATCTCTGCTTGAGTGTAGTCATCGGGATTTGGCCCAATGTGTTAAACATTGGCTCTCCCAGGATATAATGTAATATGTAAATAAAAGAATTACCGCTAGTCTTCCTTTACTTACCTTAGTTTAACAGTGAACTGTATTAAGGTTTTAAGTACCATTGGCCTCTGGGGATGGGTGGGCATGCAGGGCTGCCTTTCAATCACAAATGAACTAGTTGGAAAAGAAATAGTTTGATTAAAAGCATGCATAAATGTACAGAACTAGTCAAAAGGCTTTCATATCATGGAGGGTGCCTTTTCTATGCATATTGGAGTGGCAGGTGTACATCCCAGTCCAACACGCACTTTCTATGAATTTCTTGTGAGTTATTCCCATAAAAAATGAACTAGTTGAATATAATAGAATACATCATAGCACAGATATCATATTCCGCTAAAAGATGCAGGAAAGAGTCACCACCACAAATGAGGCAGGAAAACATGCTACAAAATCGGTTCCAATAAAATGTCTAAAACATGAAATACAACAATTATTTCACATTTCTGTCATATTTTAAAGACAAATGGCCAAATTTTGCTCTCAGACAGGGCCAATCCTAGGGATGTGCTAACAGTGCAGTCACATGTGGTACATCCACAGCATAGGCAAAACACCAGGGATGGAACAGTAACAAAATATGGTTTACTTAAAAGGAAGAAACTAAAAGGGATGCGTGAGTGTGGCACTCATGGCGGGGGAGGAGAGGCATGGAAGAATTTGGCATCCCCTAGTCCCACACCAGGCCTTGTTCACAGAGGCACATGGATGATTCCTGTTGAAATCAATGGGAGTTATGCATGTTTATCCAAAGGCAGAACTTGACCACAAAACTTTAAGGGCCTGATTTGTGAAATTCCTATCCCCAGGATCCTACCAATGTCTGTTAGTGTTGTAGGTGCTCATCACCTTTAAATACCAAGCTCTAAAATCATTGCAGATATGTTCAGGTTTTTTTCTTTTCAGGGCTTGTCTATACTTACGCGCTGGTTCGGCGGCAGGCAATCGAACTTCTGGGTTCGATTTATCGCGTCTTGTCTCGGCGCGAGGAGTACGCGGAGTCGACAGGGGAGCCTGCCTGCCGCGTCTGGACCGCGGTAAGTTCGAACTAAGGTACGTCGACTTCAGCTACGTTATTCACATAGCTGAAGTTGCGTACCTTAGTTCGAATTGGGGGGTTAGTGTAGACCAGGCCTTAATGATAAATTGTGTTTGTTTTAGATTCCTGCATCTTAAATGACACACAAAATGTATAATAGCTGATGTACCTTCGGAAAAGATTGTAGAGCAAGAAGTTGACTCTTTCCAACAGGTGAGGCCTTTGCAGTAGAATAGGATCTCCGTCATAAGTCAGTTTAGTCAACAGCTCATCCAATTTTTCCAGTTGCCTTCTTACTTGAAAAAGGCTCTCTGCCAGCAGTGTAAAACTATTGCAGAACAAATTATTGTTACATTCTCTCATATAAATTGCTTATTAGAACATAAAAGTTACTGAAGTTCTTGTCAGAAAAATCACAGAATTAGAATTGATTGTCATTTACTAACCTTATACAAGCTAACTTCAGCCAGTTAAATGAATACATGTGAACCATTGGCCAAATTGTTCCTATATTATTTCAGAAATTAGCCCTTTCCCAAAAGACCTCATTGATACTGACTTGAAGCTGCCTGTGACTTGCTAAAGAGAAATATATATGCAACCACTACTACAGAACAACAATGCCACAGCTCAGTAGTATTTTTGCAAAACATGCTCTTTAAGAGAAGAACATTTATATCCCAGAGAAGTGAGGAGATGACTGTGAAAATCCAACCCAAGCACACTTGGCTATCAGTTTAACTTAATGAGATTCATGTGGCTAAAATCCCATATGGGACTCTGAAAAAAGTCTCCCTTCTCATAACTGTGTGAGGAGTGGATTAAAAAACTGAGCAGGGACTTCAAGATTTGTCCTGTTATATCTTTGTCACAAATTCACATAGGTCCTTACAAAAAGATCAGGTAGAGCTGGTTAAAAAATTTTTATTGAAAAAATATTTTGGTAACAAACAAACAAAAAAAGCTTTTCAACCAAAATACAAATGTTAATTTTGCTATCAGTTTTCTGATGGAAAAACTAAAACTTTTCCAACAGTGAAAAATGGTTTTGTTTTTGGTTGTTCCCCCTCTACCATTCTTTCCTTTTTTCCTTGCTGACCTTCACTATACCTCTTCCAGTGAGGGGAAAAAGCTTCATGGGACATAAAAAATTGTTGGGAAGGCTCTGAATGGAACAAGAATTTTCTCTGGCTCCATTATAATTGTCAAATTTAATTATGTTTATGTTCCAATTTGAACTTTGAATCTAGATATGACAACCTCCTTTTGAGCCTTGTGGTATTTTCAAATACAGGCTATGATCTCTCCTTAAACTCCTACTTGTTACAATGACCTATTGTTTCAAATCTGGTGAAGTGTTGCACTGAATGAGTCAAAGCATGAAGTCTTTACCTATTTCTTCCCCCGATAAAACTCCCACTGTCCTCAAGTGACGAGTTTAGTGAGCTCAGTGTGCTACTCTAATACGCACAGAGAAGTCATACTCCATGAGATGAGAGCGTTGTTTCTCTGTGGGTTTTTGACTAGATCTGTACATTTATGTGTGGTTTTAATCAAGCTATTTATTTCTTTTTAGCAAAACTCCTTTGAGGAAGTGTATGTGATATATGGGAGGCTTGTCGCTGTTGTTTTGTTTGACAATCTGCAAGTGATGAGTCTCCGTGTATAGCTTGTCGTTTTGTATTCATTCTAACCGGAGATTATACCTATCAAAGCCCATTGCATTTCAGTTACTTACTTCCTTAACTGCTACCATAGCAGCAGCAAACTCAATTAATTCATACATAAGGTTCCATCAGAGCTGCTGTTGTATCTTTTTACATGTGTTGGGCTACTGTGAAGCAGCAGACTTCCTGTGGTTTTCACTGGAAACTTAAAGTAAATGTAAGTTTACCAGTTCTGGAGCTGATCAAGCCCACTATGTAGAGGACCTCCAATGCAGGCAATTTGCTGGCGCCTCTTCCAGTCTAGAAGTTCTTCAAGCAGCATGTTGTTCATCAAGACATCACTTTCATTTATTACTTGTGTCATTTTACTAAGGACTTCCTGAAAGGAATGGGAAAAGTGTCACCAACTGATCACAGGGAACACCAATAAAGCTTACAAATGAAGCCAATTATAATGTTGGTCATAAATTTTAATTTCTGAGAGTTAGGAAAAATGTGCAATACGTTAATGTGCAATAAAGTGTTTTGGATTCAGCTTGTTTTTAAGCGTTTCTCTTTGAAACCCCATATTCAAATTACTTAAGGCTTTAAATATATAACGTTCTAATGCTTATGGATTAATTTTTATTTCTGAGAAAGTGACCATACTTATACCTCTACTGCTTGGGTTCAGGTGACTGAATTCTCCATCCATTATACTAAAAATAGTCCTGAATATTAATGAATTCTTTTTACAGATAATTTTTTTTTTTTTTAGTGAATTTATTATGGCATAACACCTCCAGGACCTTGCCATGTAGAAGCACCGTTAAGGTCACAAGCTCCTTTCTGTGATCTCCGATTGTATCCCCACGTAGATTTTTCTTTAATGATGAAAAGTCTATGTGGAAATTATATGGAGGTTTTTAAGCTATTCCAAGGTGAACAGCAAAAAAAATAGACATAGAAGGAGTGCTTTCCCCACCATCAGTTTGCATTCAACTGCACTCAATGGTGTGATGTCTGGTTTTGTGGTTATGGGATTACATTGATCTGGAGTGGGTTTTTTCCCTGCCTTTAAATGCAGTAACTTGCAAACAAAGGGGATGAATCCAGAACAGTTCCTGTGAGATGATGGTTAATCCTCACCTGCCAACTAATAGGCTCATACCCTTAGTTGTACTCTTTAGAATTGCCAGTTATTTAATTGCTAGTAAACTCCCCACCCCATCATCCCCCTGGTATTTGTAACACAACATGATATTTACCTGCTCTTTTTGATGGGAGAGTTTGTGCAAATGCCTCCTTACATGTGATTATTCAGTGTGGGAGCAGGGGGAGAAAGCAAATGAACCACAAATGACAAAACATGTTACCAACCTTTCTTTTGTAGTCTAAGGTATTCAGCATTTCCTGCAACATCACCATTTCCTGTTTCATCAGGACGCTGTTTTTGTCACCCTGTTCTACAAGGGGAAGAGAAAAAAAAATTATCTGGTAACCTCAGTATAAGCGTATGTGTTTACAATCGGGATAGGGGGTGGGAAGCCCTAAACTGATTATATCCTGGTAGCTAGTAAAGAAATCTACTAATGTTTGTAATTAAAGTTTATTATATAATTTCAATTGAAATTATGACTCTAATATGAATTTAAGAATTATTATAGGAGCTGGGTATTTTGATTTTTTTTTTCTTGTGTGGAACAGGAGGAGTATAGGGAAGAAATGAGTAACATTATTAGATTCTTATGTCTGTGTATACTCTTATTTCATTATATAATTCTGGTTTGGCTGGGATTCAAATATTGAATTGTGATGAGCCATTATAAAAATAAAATAATATTGTGCATGATGCTGTCAGTAATTCTAGTAAAGTTCTTTGGAATCTTAGCGTGAACCATGTGTCCGGTTGAGGAAATATTTGCAGGTGGGGGACAGGTGCAAGAAGGTTTGGCATTTTGGATGGGGAATTTTATGGTGCGCCTAACCATGAGAATTTTGGAAGTTGTGAGTACAGGTTACTAGGTCTTTTTGCCTTGACGTGATCTTTCCTGCTACTGGTCGTCTACTGGCTTCACGTCTTCCTAGCGTGACCCACTCCCTCTTCCTCTGCAGCTCTATACCCCTCACTTTCTCTACATCTCCAACTACTTTTAAAGAAGAACGTAATGCCATCTATGTTTATGCTGGGCCCTGGCATGTGCCTTCCATTGAAATTTGTGCTCTGACATGTTAAATCTCAGTCTCATATGTTTGGCATGCTGAAGAACTTGGGGCACCTAGAGGCCCAGATTTCTCTACATGTTAAAAGGGAGGTGCCATTAAGGTCTCAGTGCAGTCATAGCTGTGTGCCAGTTTCAGTTCTGAAGGAGGGTCATGAAGAAGTTGTTGCAGTGTGACAGGCTGCAGATCCCAGAACCACTGCAGGCTGCTCAAGCTTGCATTTGGAATGCTTACCAGATGATTAACACAGCTCTGGTCAAAAAGACTGGAAGGCCAAGTTAGTGACTAATAAATTGGTTTTAGAAAACTCCACTATGGGGGAAAGCATGGGGCCCTATACATTCTACTCTGTAAGAGGAAGGGCCATGTTAAACATGAAAAAAATGTCCTCTAAACTATGAAGACCATAATTTCCAAGACTTGACCACACTGCTTCATAGCTCATTTACAGAAAATAACTGCATCTGGACACTGAGGATATTATTACTTTTTTAACCCCAGAAGTGTGCATTATGGCACAGATAGCAGTTTTGCATACACATCATGCATATATCTCAAAATATCAGCTTCTGTGCTTATGTATGCTTGGAAGATAATACACAAAACACATCTGAGACTGGAATCTAGCCCTATAATCAACATTTTCTCACAGAATCTTAAAATAATTATGAAAAAGCTTACCTAGGCTCTGTATTGTTTTATACCTGAAGTCAAACTCCTCTTGCAAATCTTCTAAGTATTTGACATCTTGTTCTGTCATCTTTTTATAAATTAAAAAAGAAAAAGATTCAGTATAGCACTTGAGGGTTCACCATATCTGACAGTTTCTAATTTACATTATTTTATTTTTACCTAGATTGTAGTTGACTTCTTTCAATATTTCCCTTCCCTGTCAAAGACTTGACAGGACTGTTTATCTCCTACTCACTAATCTCACCAAAAAAATGATAATTTTGTGTGCAGCTGCAGACCATAATATATAAGGAGAGAAGGGTTCCGTTCACTGCATCCCAGTAAAGTCACATATTATCCTCTTTCACACACTATTTTTATTGATACAATCAGCCCAATCATGAACTCTGCTGTGGCAAAACTACATTGATTCAGGTTTTGCCTGCAGAATGAGACACTGTATGTATCTGGCAACATCATTTATTTTCATCTAAACCAGTCTCCCCAAATAATAATTCAAATCCTTATTTGTTTGAAAGTAGAAATGACTAAAATTAGTTGAGACTGCTTATCAATAATATAAACCTAACTAAAATACATTTATGTAAACTATTAGAGTAATTGCCATTTGACACTTAAACATACCATGGATGCCCCTCCCCCACCCACTTTTTAAAATATAGTAGTTTGGTACTGTAAATTGTCATTCTTTGAAGAATATTAAATTATTAAATTATGCTTGTGGATTTGAACACACAGCTACTCAAAGTATGGCATGGGGATTTTTAATGTGGATATCCAAGAAAAGAATTTATCTTTAAAAGTATAAGCCCAAGAACAAATTAAAAACAAAAAACTAAACAAAACACTTCTACCATTTTGATGTGCACACAAAAACACCTGCTTGCAGAGTATTGCCACAGCAGGATAATTTCCCTTTTTTAACTGAGAGCTCTAATTTTTCATTTGTTTTTATAATTCTTTGGCCTATTTGGAGATTTAAAGTTATTCTCCATTGTTCTCTGGTGAAACAAGCAGAGTCATACTTTGTGCAAAAGACCCTCTCCTGTGACACGTGAATATCTCAGAACAGGGCCATACTCCTCTAAAGGCCTGATCCCACACCATTTAAGTCAATTGAAGACTTTGCATTGAGTGCCCTGGGAGCTGGATCAGAGCCTACAAGAATACTTAGGAGCGGAGATTTCCAGAAAAAGTTCTGGACAGATAGAATGACATAGGTTCTGCAGGTCTGTAGCCACAAACTTCATTTTTAGATAAAGACACCTTCATGAACTTTGTGCAAAGCAGTGAAACTGAATTACAGGACTGTCACATCTTACACTGGGGTTAGGTTCTAAAGCCAGCGCGTAAGGTGAAAATCGCGTATAGTCAAAACCCCAGACTAGCAGCAGGCTGAGCAGGGCCGGCGGACAGAACCCCAGACTGGCTCAGCCCACCGCCGGTTTGGGGTTCCGTCCGCCGGCTCCTGCCAGCCCGGGGTTCCGTTCACCCAGGCAGGCAGTGGGCTGAGTAAGGCCGGCGGCCAGGACCCCAGCTGGCAGCAGCGTGCCAGTAAAAATCGGCTCATTGCGTGCATAGTTGAATTCGCATAAGTTTAATGTGCGTATGATGCGACTCCACTGTACTGCTTTGGCCTTTTTCAGAGTTTCACTTTCATGCTTTTGGGTTTGGAATAGGGTGACCAGACGTCCCGATATTTCGGTGTCTGTCCCGCTATCCGCCGGCAGCACTGTGTGGTTTTTTTTTTTTTTGCTCCCCGCCCCCCAATGTGTCCTGATATTTTCTTCCTAGTTTGGAAAGACTTCTCCAAATAATCCTATCATAAAAGATGATTCATGAACAGGCTCTGCCCCTAAGGTTCCCCCCGCAGCTGGGCTCCCTCTGCTCCGGGGCTGGGATGGAAGCTGCAGCCCAACGCAGAGCCTGCTGCCTGCCTGCCCATGAGATGCAAGTAGGAGGCAGTCCCGGCTGAGCAGGCATCTTCCCCCACAACCCTCCCATTCCTGCCCGCCTACAGTAATCAGACTTTTGGTGTCTAGACTTTCTGGTTGAAAACTGGACACCTGGCAACCCCGGTAAATGTTTAGAGGACTATCAAAATCCAGTCTCCAAATCTAGATGTGTGCACAGACAGTCTCATCTGTTATTGGTTTTTTTTTTCTATTTTGGGGACTAAACTTTGGAAATGCAAATGCAAGGTGTGCAGTTGCATGCACAGTTGGCTGTTTTTCATGTACAACTCAAGCATACATTATTTAAAAAAAAAATGTAGCTCCTAACCATTATTCTTATTTACCCTTTCCTTTTCAATGAAATTCACCCTCCCTACAAAAAGCCCCAGCAACAGATTCTATGCAGCAGTTTGCAGAAGAGGATCAATGCTCACCAACATTATGGGCAGGCTGCTGGGCCTCCGCCTCCAGCTGCTTCTCCTCTGTGACGCTATCTGGACCCTAAATATATAAGTGCTGATCCAGTGCCCCATTCCCTGGGTTTGATACCCAAACTCTCCCCTTTTCTGTTTTTTTCCTTTGTTGTTATATAAAGAACAACAAAACGAAACCTCAAGCCAAACTTCTTGAGGTAAGTTGTTTCTAGTATTATCCCTGCAGGACCTCTCTTTCTCTGTCCTTAGTTGCCTCTACTATAGAGAGAGACTTCTGGGATGAAGTACTAGGCTCCAGTTGAACAGGCTGTGTGACTGAATCTAATGTAATAAATCTGTATCTCTGTGCGGAGTCCTAGAACCTGACACAATGTCTCAGACTGTAACAGACACAACATACCTGGGCACTGTTCTTAATGGCTGACACTTTGTGCTCCACATTTCTTTGTCTTTCTGAAACTACGGAATTCTGCAATTGTTTTTCCAGTGGTCCCTAGAACAAATTAAATACATAGTGTGTAGACCATCTATGATATCTTAAACAGCAATGATATTTCGCCTTATATAAAACATTCCATACAAATAACTCCACTACAACATCTAGCACAGAAGATGGAAGTTAGGACTAGATCTTCAGCTGGTGTAAATCACTGTAGTTCCACAGACTGATAAACACCCCCCACTGGATCTTGAGATCCGAATGGATACAGGTAGTGTTGCAAACATTTTAAAATTTAATATATGTTTAACAAACAAGAAAATCCAAAATGAAAATATATTGTAGGAAGATTGTTATATTGCTGAAAAAATATTTTAACACCCCAGTAAGCACATACATTCTATGCACAAGTTAATTAACTTATTAACAGAACTTAAATTAATCTGTCTGAATTTTTCCATCAATATAACCGTTTTCACAATGTATATTGTACAGTTTGGGATTTTCTTGTGTGGTTTTAAAAAATATATTAACTTCTTTTAATAAGTTTATGGAGGGGATGGTATAATGGAACTGCCTATGATGGCATGTGGCCCATCAGCAACTGCCAGCAGCAAAAATCCCAAACGGCTGGAGGCAGGACATTAGATGGGGAAGGCTCCGAGTTACTACAGAGAATTCTTTCCCAGATGTTTGCCTGGTGGGTCTTGCCCACACGCTCAGGGTCTAACTGATCGCCATATTTGGGGTTGGAAAGGAATTTCCATTGGGTCAGATTGGCCGAGATCTGGGGGGTTTTCACCTTCCTCTGCAGCATTGGGCACGGGTCACTTGCAGGTTTAAACTAGTATAAATGGTGAATTCTCTATAACTTGAAGTCTTTAAACCATGATCTGAGGACTTCAATAACTCAGCCAGAGGTTAGGGATCTATTTCAGGTGTGAGTAAAGTTCTGTGGCCTGCAATGTGCAGGAGGCCAGACTAGATGATCACAATGGTCCCTTCTGTCCTTAAAGTCTATAATCATTAGCATAACAAGTATTACATAATAAATACAAGCTAAAACTTAACAATGAAACTTGTCTTATACAACACGAGTTTAAAAACTGCTCCATGCTTCAGAAACATAGGCGCCGACTCCGTGGGTGCTCTGGGGCTGGGACACCCATGGGGGAAAAAATGGTGGGTGCTGAGCACCCACTGGCAGCCCCCCATTAGCTCCCCGCTACCCCCCCCCACCCAAGCGCCTCCCGCCCACTGGCAGGCCCCACGGATCAGCACCTCCCGCCCGCCGCGAACAGCTGTTTTGCGGTGTGCAGGAGGCTGGGATGGAGGGGGGAGGAGTGAGGATGCTGTGCATTCAGGGGTGGAGCGTGGGCGGGAAGAGGTGGGGTGGGAAAAGGTAGGGCAGGGGTGGGGCCTCGGGAAAAGGGGTGGAGAGGGGGCAGAGCCGGGGGGGGTCAAGCACCCCCCGGCACTTTGGAAAGTCGGCGCCTGTGTTCAGAAATAACGCCGTCTCTCACAAGGCATTCCTATAGTTTCTTAAGATTAATAGTAACATACTGAAGTTACTTAAATTAATGTGTAAGGTCCTGATTCTGCAAACACAAATGTGCACATGCTGTTTACACGATTTGGAGACAGACGGCCAGATCTTGCCCTCACTGTTCCTGTTGGTTTCATCATAAGAGGACAGAATTTGGTCCTCAGTACAAGTGATCAACATGGCCAAAGCAGATTAATAAAATGTAATACGTTACCTGTACCGGCATGCTGGCTGCAGCCAATATCCTTCTCTCTTCTCTTAAGCAGTTTGAAATAATAACTGCTATGTGCATAGGATTACCATGATATTTTCCCTGCAAACATAAATCAATTGTAAATGTTAAAATTAAAAGAAATCTAGGGTCTTCCCTATGTAAAAATCTTGATTTCATTGTCTACTGACTGGCCTTGTAGAGGTTTAGGAGATTTTGCTAATATTTCCCACCATTGCTAACACTGATTCAGCTATAAACCAGTGTTAACCACAACGGGAGCCCTTATGTAGATAGCCTGCCTGCTAGTGACACCATTTTCAGCACCGTGTCATTTAGACTTGTTCTGAGCTGGATTAGATGACACAATGCTGGTACACAGTGAGCCATGCGCGTTGGTGCTCCCAATGATGCTAATGCTGATTCAGCTGACAAGGTGTTAACAATGGTTGGAGTTTTTTTGAGAATATTTGTAGTGTCGACTAAGCCGACTTGATGCAACTGCACGACTTCTTTAAAGACAAGTACTGCATACATTCATATGGTATTTATTATTATTTATTCACATCCCAGCAGCACCTAAAGGCCCCTATCAGAGTCCCGCTGTGCTAAGTGCTATACAAACACACAGAGCATGATACAGTCCCTGCTCCCAAGAGCTTGCAGTTTTACAACAGACCAGTCACACAAGTAAGTTTAATAATGAGCAAATGGGGTGGGAGGACAAAGATTACAGTATAAATCAAAAGGCATCTTAAGTAACTTATTTGTATGTCTAGATAATATGGAGGCTTCTACAGTAGTAGTGGATTTAAAAACAATGTGGATTTAAAGCCTCTTTAAAAACAAATCATGATTAAATTGATTACAATAATCTGATAAAACGTATTACTGCATGTAGATTTATGCAGCAATGCAGAGTCAATTCGTGCCATTATTGTAAATATATTACTATAAAGATTATTAAATTATAGCCATGAGTTATATGTGGCAATGGAACAATTTGACCTTCAAATGAAAACGTATCTGGTTTGAGATGGTTTTCTTGTCAGCATATTTTTGATGCATTTTTTTAAATCAGGTTTTCCATTTTCAATCCAGCATGTAGCATGCATTTGAGCAAGAAGACTATATACCACATATCAGCATAGTAACTATGTATGCAGAAAAGCCTTCCCCAGTATATACCAATAGACTTAAATCTGTTCTCATTTTAGCCAACCTCTTTGAACAATTTTCATTCCAATAACACATGGAAGAAGCAGCTCTCATCCCAAGACAAGGAGCCCAATTTTCCTACACTAATGTAAACCAGGGGCAGAATCACTATCTTTAATGGAGTTATACTAGTTTAGAACTATTGTGAGATGAGAATCAGGCCAAAGGGGACCAAATATTAATAAAGTTTGTGCTGTCTTTGGCAAACTAGAAAGCCTGTACCCCTTCCCTGAAGCAGTGCCTTTCACAGTAATATTCTTTTGTGCTTTTGTCTCTTTTTCTGTAATATCTGTTTACCTTAGTGTTTTTTCATATTTTTATTATCATTCGTACAGTACAATTTCTCACACTATTCCAGAATCAAATACTTAGTCTCTCTTGCAGTGTTTCCCCTTCTCCATCTTTCTAATTTAGTTTTCACTCTCATCTGGCTTTGTTTCTATTAAGTATTTTTCTTATTCTTGCTTTTTCTTTGCCTGGCACAATCAGCTTCACAATTCTTAAAACATCTCTTTATTTCTTAAACCAGATGTTCCATTGTCTGTCAATGTGTGATGGAAAAGTGCATAGACTCAACATATCTTTTCACATCAGTGTGATTGCACAGTTGAATTCTTAGCAGTAGCACTAAATGCAAAAAACAAAAAATGTAGAAAAAATCCCTTGGTGTTTTTGGTTGAGGCATGGATAGCTGGAGGGTGTTTTTCATTGCATACGCTGGCTGCAGTTGCAAGGCAGCAGAGTATGAGAGAAAGATGGACCTTCAAGAGAAATACAAATCATTTTAATCACTGGGACTGGCTGCTTGTTATTAAACATTGTGCTGCCCGTAGTGTTGTGCTGCCAGACAGAAATGGCACTGATGTAAAAGGCAGTCAATTGAATGGGGAGTGACGGATTACCTATCCTTCCCAGAGAAGCTTTGGCTTTCATCACACCAGGCAAGTCTACACTCAAGTGCTACATCAGCACAGTTGCACCGCTGTAGCACATCTGGTGAAGATGCGCTTTGCCGACTGGAGAGCGCTCTCCCATCAGCTTAATAACTACCTCTGTGATAGGCAGAAGCTGTGTTGGCGGGAGAGCATCTCCCACTGACATAGCGCCAGTGTGGACAGGACTTAGGTCGATGTAACTTACGTCGCTCAGGGGGGTGTCTTTTTCACACCCGTGAGTGCCGTAAGTTACATCAACTAAGCGGTAGGGTAGACCAGCCCTTAGTGTTGAAACAAGGCTTCAGAGTTAACCAGCTGAATGCTAAGTAATGTACCTGCTATATGGGGTAAAATAAACTTCCCACAGCTGCCACATGTGCTGTATCTCCTAATGTCCCTCTGAAGTGCGCTGAAAAGATTGTGACAAGTTCAAGGAGTTGTGCTTACATTCAGCAGTGAAGACTTTAACATCACCGTGGACTCAAATTCACTATGTACATAACCTAAAAAGAAAGGGTGTTCTACTATAGCAGTCACTTGCTTTGGGGAATAAAGGGCAAGGGCTAGATTGTGATTTTAGGCACAGCCCTGAGCAAGGTGGTGGCAGATAACCAGCACTATTCTAGGAATCACTGCACCTCAGACACCCCTCTCAAGCACAATTCCCTCCCGGCCTCCTCCTTGCTGTGGGGTGAAGATAAGGGGAAGGTGGGTGGGGAAAAGTAGCTGTTGGTTATTTACTGATCTATACAAACTCTTTCTTGCACCTGGCCAGTGTGTTATAGGAGCAGAGCCAAACTTCTGCACATTCCTCAATTCTCTCTGCCCACTTCCCACCCATTGGCTCTATAGGAATGAAGGAGAGTGAACAGGTGCACAGTGCTTGCTTATCACTGGTCATGTGGGCACAAGGGTGTAGCCCATGCAGTGGTAAAAGGAGGCTTCTTACTCCCCTGTACGGGCATCTTGTCAATCTAGCCCTCAGCAAATTCCGAATGAAACTTTGCTCCCACCTTCAACATACATGAAAGGAGGTGAGGGGAACATGGGACATCACATGTGATCAGGACTGGGATTTGAGGATATTCCTGCAGAAGACTGAAGCCTCATCCTGTTTGACTAGAGCGGTGCTTCATGAGGAAAGGGACAAGATTAAGGGGTGGCCAAATCCTCAACTGGTGTAAAATAGCATAACTTCCATTGAAATCAATGGCTAATTTATACCAGCTGAGGAATGAGCCCTGATGTTTAGCTAGTTCTTTCTAATTCTTATAGTTTTTGTTTGCTGATATTCTTTACTGTCCTATCTCCTACATTTGAGTGTTCTGTCCTGGAGATGGCTAGCTGGAAGGAGTCTTTGCTGTGTCATGGTGTCTCCACAGGCAATCTGCAGGTGGACAGCCTGAGGAGTGGGTAGTCTGGCTTAGGCACTGCCCAGAAACAGAATCCCACCAGCCTGTAACAAAATCTTAGGGTTTAAGCAGCGTGTTTAATACACCACAGCCCTGATCTTGCAGTCAGATTGTCATGGGCAGACCCGTGTCCCCATAAAGAGCCCCAGGACATAAGGGTCTGCCCACATGGATTGCAGAAGGGGATCATAACATGCAGTGACAGACCCATCTCAGAGACCTCTCTTTCAGTTTAGGCTGAGCCTTTGAGCCCATTTTAAGCCTTAGACTGGGGGCATGGGGATAAGCTGAGGTCAGAGGGTCACAGATGTCTGAGGAGTGGCCATCCCAAAGCACCAAAAGAGGGCAAAAACTAAATCCCTCAGACTCTGTAGTTTTTTGTCATTGTCAAGTGAAAGAGACAGGATTCAAACAAAAGCTGTTTAACAAAGTCAACAAAAAAATGAAATTCTGTGTTGGAGTCAGGAAATGTATTTACATAGAAAAGGCGTTTCAAAAGAAACTCTTGTCAGTGGGATGATTTAAAATCCCCCGCCATACGATCACCAGGTAACAGGGACTTTCCCAGCATTTCTACAGATACCAGTTGTACACAAAACTTTTTTCTTGTCTCTCTTTTTTTTCACAATGAAAAAAATTAATGACTGAGCTGTTTAAGAGACTAAAGTGATTAAGGGAGAATTAACTCCCTTCCCTCTCAGCCCCACAAAGCTCAAGTAAATAAGTTTTGTGTGTAATAAACTACACACTGACTGGTGGTCTCTCACCCCTCACTCACCACAGGAGTGCAGGTCACCTCTGCAGCCTGTGTGAGGCAGGGGCTGTGATTGCTTGGACCTGCTACATAGATGTTTGTGGACACATGGTGCCGCTGCACTGGGAGCTGCTTTGGTATCAACACCAGTGGGTGAATTTCATCCTAACAGAACGCAGATAGTGTCTTAAAAATAACAAGATTGAAGCTCATTTATAAGCTATATTACATCACCCACCTTGTCTCTGCTAGACAGAATAACATATTGAAAGACTTAACACTTAATGTCCCAACTCGTTTTATACAACTCTCAATGATTATTGTATTTGCTGTTGAAAAAAGTATGCAGATCATCACCCCGTTTTCTTCAATATCAGTTTAAATTCTCCGCAAAAAATCCCATCCTGGTTCAATTTTGCCCTTAGTTAGTTAGTTCAATGTAGTTGAAGACAAAATTTGGCTAAGCATGAATTTGGCCATTCAGTGAGAAGCAGAAAATAATCTCACAAAACTGGAGGGTCAAAAAAGATGGTGGGGGCAGAAAAAGATGGAAAAATTTCAGAAAAGAGCCTGAAGTCAGGGAATCCAATCCAATCCTAGATTGTGATATAATGTACCATGCCATCCTGCCAGCCAGCAAAGGAGAGTACAGATTCCACAATTAGGCAGTATTGTATTTGTTTATGTATATAAAAAACCATCAAGTATCTTGATAAACACTTTACTCTTATAGCAGTTTTCTACTGTGAATAAGTTTTAAACCGAGACAGTGGGAAATCTTTG